CCCTGGTTTTCCTTTCCAACGCCGCCTTGATCTACACTCAATGATGCAGTTCTGGCCCCACAAGGTAACGAGCTACCTGAAGGTGCTGAAAGAAGAGCTCAACAGGTCAAAGTACGATGTTGTCGCACGTCTTACATTGGGCGCTTGTCATAGACCATATGTGATGCTCATAAGCTAAACGTAGTGGTCGTGTGTTATGAAAAGCTTTGTTCCATCATATCACCAGTAGAGTTACGAATGAAAGGTTCCAGAGCTTGTTAGACCGTGGACTGACTCGTCAGAGCGTGCATCGGTACGTACACAATCTTAGAAAGTTCTGTGAAGTCCCATAAGCTTGCGCATTATCCAGGCGGGTTGCTCGGGAAGTCAGGGAATTGAGACCTGAAATGAGCAAAATATGCAATATGATAGTTCAGCCAAGTGTGTTGTTGAAGAGAAGGGAGCCCTGGAGTATCGCTGAGAGACTTCCAATGACAACTGGTTGCGGTAAGCAGCTGCTCTGCGCTAAAATGGACAGATACTAGTGCCATACGTCACCTTCGAATGCAAACTTTCCCCAACCACCCATTGTTTCACATTAGCCCTGAATCAGCGGGAATCAAACATTCTTCAGAATTACAACGAGATTTGAACAACCCTTCCATGCACATGGTCGCTACGAGGTCGCTTTCCGCGCGTCAACGCGTGGATAAATGTCTACAACAGAGGATGGCCTATCTTAGCCCCAGAGCCTCCCTCCTCCCTTGACTTCCCAGGTCTAGATACGGTGCCTCGCCCAGGCTAGCTACTCGATCGCCTGCCCTGGCTTCATCATAGTCATATGTCGCACAATGCCACGTACTACGGTTATCCCAAATAGCCAAGTCATTCGGCCGCCATTTAAACCGCACCTGCGCATCGTGGTTTTGCGTTACAAGGTTGAACAGATACGGCAGAATGAGGTCGGATTCGTCCTTCGTGATGCCATTGATACGTTTGGTAAATCCTTTGTTCACGTATACTGATTTCCAACCCGTCACAGCTGTGGCGCAGATTAGCGTTTGCAAAGCAGGAGAAGAATCAACAAGCTTACGATTTGTTCTTATGACTGGATGTGTGGCTGTGAGTGCGTCCCCCTGGTTCAATGGATTACCACGGACACCCTTCCTCAATGGATTTCCTAGCCGCTCTGCTTCTTCTAGGAAAAACTTCGCATCGTGCGTCGCAGTCAGGCCCTCCAGGAATGACCGCATGGCGGGAGAGAGGCGGTCGTAAATTTCGTAGGCGGACGCCCACAGCGTGTCACCACCTGTTGCTGGTAGGGTATGAATTTTCAACATCGCATAGTCTGACGGTACTGGTTCAAAAGTAATGTCACTATGCCAGCCCGCAGATGCGAAACGACTGACATCCGAGAGTTGGTGAGTGAGACCGCCACCTTTCTTCTGCTTTTCGCTGCTTATGACAGAGATCTGATCTCCCAGTTCGGAGCCTTCTTCGGTAAGGGGGTGCACATGGAGTCCAGATGATGAGGGCTAACAATCTGTCAGCGTTGTGAAAATGAGTTCGTGTTGGTAATCGAGTAGACATACACAACCTGATAGCTCAGTTATGCGCAACATCAGGTCTTTCATCTGAGTTGGTGTGACATCTTGGTTCCTCAGAAAGACGACGCCGCGTTGTGATACTTGAATTTTTATCAGCCACCGACTTGGTCAAGTTAGAGATGGAAACCGTACCCGTGATAGCCAAATCTTTGATCATAGCATCACCCCATCGAAGCAGATCGGTCACCTGGAGACCTTCGAATTCTCTTCCGATGACTGGGGTTAAGTCTTGGTGTTGGAAGCTATCCAGCGACCCGGAATAAATCAAGGGCTCCAGAAGCCTCGACCTGGCACTGGCGTGTCCGCCAATGATGTTGGCGTCCCCGTCTTCATGGACATCTTCGATACGATTGCGCTTGATTGAAGGCATCTTAGGAGCGATGTGGCTTAAAAGTAGTTTTAGCTTTCGACTTAGCCTTAGAGTTGCAAAGCACTTCGACAGCCTGAAAGCTAACAATCTTACATACCTGGAAATCCCGAACGTCTAATATCTACCAGAGACCAGGGTGGCACATCTTCGGCATGTGTGGTAAAGCACGTCATCGGACTAGCTGTATGTTCCGGGATTAGGCACGCCGAGCCTAGCCTACACCATTCCGTGAACGCTAAGCCGGGGGTCAAGAGGGGAAAACCAATAGCAGATGCATTAGTATGCACAACACCGCGCTTTCCCCTCCTTCGTCGGCGCATTTACTGCCTCGGTAGGATGGCGACGATGGCGACGAGATGAGCCGCAATTGCGACATGCAATCTCTAAGATGATATATAGAGGAGTAAAAGCATGTCAGGGGACATGTAGCGTGCCGATCATTAGATCTTTATAACAGCCTCCATTCGTAGGACTCGTGTTGAAGCCGACGACTGCAGCTCTTCAACATGGGCAACGACATCGAAGCAGCCCCGCATACGACACGGATCAGCGAAGATGCCAACTCGCTGAAATCATCGGCCCATGTGGGTAGAGAGGAGCTTGCAGACATCGTTCCCCCACACGACAGCTACGAAGGCCGGCATCGCTTCGACCCCCATGCGAGCTGGAGCGTTGAGGAAGAACGTCGTGTTGTACGGAAGACAGATCTACGACTGCTCACATGGCTCTGCCTGATGATGTTCGGGCTGCAAGAAAGTTGATACAAGCTACTTGACGATTACGAATACTGACTGCTACAGCTCGATCGCGGAAATCTATCGAATGCGCTTGCGGATAATCTTCTGAACGATCTTGGTCTGACTTCGGATGATTACAACAATGGCACGACCATACAACTGGTTTGCTTCCTTGCTGCCGAGTTTCCGGTCCAGTTGTGAGTGATATCAGAATCATTTTGCAGTCACTGTCTAACCACACTTCTGTCTAGTCTCACCAAGCGATATGGCTTCAAGTACATCCTTCCAACTATGATGTTAGCCTGGGGAACTGCATCTTGGGGTCAGGCATGGATGCATGACCGGACTTCATTCTATCTGGGTCGCGCAGCCATCGGACTCTGTGAGGGTGGTTTCATCCCTGGTGTTATCTTGTTTGCGACCTACTTCTACAAGTCCAAGGAGCTTTCCATACGTCTTGCAGCCTTCTGGTCGACACTCAACATCGCTCGTGTTATTTCCGCATTGCTCGCAGCCGGGATTCTGGAAATGCGCGGTGTCGGTGGGAAGCCCGGCTGGTTTTGGCTCTTCCTCCTTGAAGGTCTCTTAACGGTTGTCATTGCCATATTATCGTTTTTGTACCTACCCGCAGCGCCGACATCAACAACGAACGTACTTTGGCGTAAGGGCTGGTACACCGAGCGGGAAGAGATTAGTAAGTTTCCAGCTACGAACTGTATATATGAGACATTCACTTACTTCGTACGCTCGAATTCAGTCATGGTAAACCGCATCCTTCGAGACGATCCAGCAAAAGGCCTTACGGCTCTCAAAGAGCCTGCCACATTTAAGGACATCCGTGCGGCATGGTCTGACTCCTCCATGTGGGGTCTATACTTCATCGGCCTCGTTGCTTACATTCCTGCCTCCCCAGTGCAAGGCTACCTTACGCTTACACTAAAACGTCTCGGCTTCAGCACATTTAACAGTAACATGTTGACTATCCCATCCGCTGCGCTTCAAGTCGTTACCATGCTAGCCCTAGCATACTCGAGCGATTACTTTAACGAACGTACGTTCCATTGCATTTTTGGCGAGTTCTGGATCATGCCACTCCTTATCGCCCTTCTGACGCTACCCGACGGAGGCCGCGAATGGGGCCGCTTCTCTCTAATTACGTTGATCTCCGGTTACCCATATTTCCATCCTTTGGTCTCGTCCTGGATCTCGGAAAATACATTCGACGTCAAGAAGCGTGCGATTACGGCCGCAACGTACAACGTTATTGTGCAAATTGGATCTTTGATCAGTTCACAAATCTACCGTAAATACGATGGTCCGTACTACAAACAAGGCAACTCAGTGCTAGTGGCGATCTGCGCATTGAGTGTTATCACCTTCCTCGTTCAGCGATGGGCCCTGGTACGACTGAACAAGAAGAAGCAAGAGAAGTGGGAGCAAATGACTTCGGAAGAGAAGGCTGTCTACCAAGCAGACATTGCCGCGCGTGAGAAGGACGGCAACAAGCGGCTGGACTTCAGGTTCACGCTCTAGTCTGGTCTCGGAAAGATAGCCGATGGCATTAGGCAGTTAGTCAAGATCAATGTGCATGGTAACATACTGGACGGGCTGTGGTTGCAACATCACATGCTTTCGCCAATCGCTCCACCCACCGAAATTTCAGCCGCACCGAACTATCGGCAATCCATAACTGAGATTATTCCGAGGTCTAATCGCAACTCTCGACGCGCGTGTTCTGACATTCAATGGACGTTACTATTGCGTGAAAGCCTTTGGTGAGTGTCTTCTGAGTGCTTGCATATCTTGTTACTGTTTGTATTTGTTTTTCGTATGTTTTTTTTGAAGTTTACTAGGCCGCAAGTCAGCCAGAGGGTGAGTATGCGTCCTCGCGTCGGCTACAGAGACCCGTCTTGTTCAATGAAGACGTCTCTAGTCGGACCCACTTTCTCTCCAACGCCCCACTATTACCCAGAGCTGCCCTATGTCGTGATTGCGGGGATCAATGACGACCTCGGGACTCTCCACGTTCTCGCGAGTCATTCCGGAACCGCGAATACCAAGGCCTCAACAGCACGTACTCGATGCGACTGCCTAAAAGAGGATTTTTCGTCCGATGCGGGAGAACACATCGCCGGCATCGCTCTGCATGGAGAAATTGCTGCTTTGGGTGTAGCCGACAGAATTTTGGAGAGCCTTAGCAGAGCGTGTGACTGTAATGGTGGCTCTGTTTGAGACGCACACTTACCTCGATATACATTGAAATCGAGCTTTTGAAACGTTTCACGAGATTATCCAAATACACACATAATGGCTTGGGAGGAACCTCGTAAAACTGGTATGCAGTACCGCCGCCTGGGCAACTCAGGCTTGCATGTATCTGCACTCGGTTTGGGCGGTTGGCTCACGTATGTTCAACTCCCCGTTCATCTACATACACATACTGATCACACAAAATGCAGCTTCGGAGGCCATGTCGAGAATGGTGATTTTTGTCTTCACGCTTGTCAGCCACGCAACTAATCATAACCATAGAACTCACATTTTCCATCATGAAGACAGCATATGACAACGGTATCACATTTTTTGATACTGCCGAGTCATACGCTGGTGGCCAGTCCGAGATCATTATGGGCCAGGCTATCAAGAAGTTCGCATGGAATCGCAACGACATCGTGATATCCACGAAACTCAACTGGGGCGGCGCAAATGGCGAGGTGCTTGTCAACAACCATGGTCTCTCACGCAAACACATCATCGAAGGACTCCGTGCATCGCTCAAGCGCATGGATTTGGAGTATGTCGATATAGTGTATGCGCATCGTCCTGATCGTCTTACACCCATGGAAGAAACAGTCCGCGCATTCAACCATGTCATTGAGCAAAAAGGGTGGGCGCTGTACTGGGGCACGTCTGAATGGTCCGCAGATGAGATCGCCGAGGCATGCGGAATTGCGAAGCAGTTGGGTCTCATTGCACCGATAGTGGAGCAACCGCAGTATAATCTGCTCGAAAGGAAGAAGGTTGAGGGTGAATTCCAGCGCCTTTATGCACGATTTGGACTTGGCTTGACTACATTCTCGCCATTGAAGTTTGGGCTGCTGAGTGGGAAGTACAACGATAGTCCAGATGCACCGCCAGCAGGTTCAAGATTCGCCGAAGGAAAAGATGGCTTCGTGAGTGGAATGCGTGATCGATATGGAAACGATGAATGGAGTGGCATGATCAACAGCGCAAGAAAATTGAAGGGAGGTCAAATGCTCCTAAATTCTGGACGCTGTTTCGCTAACACAAGAACAGCCAATTGCGGATAAGTTGGGCATTAATCAATCGCAGCTGGCGCTTGCGTGGTGCTTGAAGAACCCGCATGTTTCAGCAGTGATTACTGGGGCTTCGAGACCGGAGCAGGTGGTGGACAACTGTGCAGCTCTGAAAGTTTTGGACAAGCTTACGCCAGACGTCATGACAGAGATCGATGGTATTGTAGGAGGTATCCAGCTAGACCCTGCACGACAGGATTAGCTTGGTTATACTTACTCTTGATCAACAAAGACTCAGTTCACCATCTAAATGTCAGTGCACCTGTCTGACTGCATCTGTATTGTCCTGCAAACGCCCAAAATGCTTTCATGGCTACATGCTGTGCAAAATCTAATTCAAAGTCGCATAAAGCGCTAAGGCTTCTTGCCCTGGTCTTTCTTGGCTTCGTTCACTTGGGGCAATATCTCATGAACCTTCATGTCTAGCCCGACCCAGAATTTCCGACCTCGCCATTCTACAGTAACGCCGCCCCAGAACGCAATGACCCATACAGGTAATGCAAAGAACTCGCGACCAAGCCAAGCATAGAGAAAGTCGATGAAGTTTCTTCTTGCACCATCAAGTAGACTTGGCTCACTTGGAGTCTTATTGCCAAGAAGAGGTTCAAGAACTTCGGTGCGGTGGTATGCAGAGGCCGATCGCTGAGGCAAGATAAAATCAGGAGTATCGGCATCGATTTCGACAGTCTTGGCGCAGTGAAGCAACAGATATTGAACGTAGTCCACTAGACACCAAGCAGACAGATGTAGGAGCCAGATGAGGAAGAAGGAGGTCCAGGTCGGGCTGATGCCGATGTTGTGGAACACGGGTAGCGTCGTCAGAGCGTATGCGCCATAAAGCCCACACAGAAGACTCTCCGTTCCTGGCTCCACGAACGTTGCTAATGTAACCGTGAACTTCCGTACTCGTAGCCATCGAATACGACGCTGTAAGTAGGCCATCACAGACGTATGACTGATTGGCTGGTAGCAGAAGTCACCAAAAAGCATAGCGTGCTTGCCCCAGGTCTCTTTCTTGGTCCCTGGTTCTGGTTGGTAACCTCGTTTCTCGAAAGCTTGGGGTTCTTTCCACAGCACATCGCCAATGAGGTGATCTTCGCAGATATTGTCGGAGAAGAAATCGATACCGGGAGTGCGTTCTGGGTTTGATGAGGTAACATAGTTGAGTTGGGAGCGACGGAACATGGTACTCTTGCCCATAATACAGGGTGCTACAGCGACAGTGTTGATGGCTTGGTAGAATTTGGCGTGGGCAGAAGACATGAAAGCTTCGTCCAGACGTCCGCCACCACGCTGCAGCAGCTTCCTAATAGTACTTCCTGAGTAGTTGCGAGGATCAGAAGATGTGCTTGCCGCGATATTGGTCGACTGTGCTGCAGCTTCTGGTTTCCCTCCGAGCAACTCCTTCCTGTCCTGTAGCGAAAGACCTTGCGAATCGAGGTCTACCGTAAGAGGTGTCTGGTGCACGAACTTGTACTTTCTCTTGCTGTTGCCATGTTTGTCCTGTCCAAAGCCACATAGTAGGTCCACTAGTCGACCGCAAACGCCCTTGCCGACCCAGACGTTACAGTCAAGCACCCACACGATGTCACCCTCGGCCTCCCTATAGGCACGACTCATGTTCCTGATCTTCGGATTGGGTCCCAGCGCGTTATTATCCTTCAATAGCAGCGGATCCTCTTCTTCGACCAAGATTTGCACATGAGCGTCTGGGAAGTCATTACATAGGCGTTCGAGAATCGGAAAGGCGGGATCGGATCGCTCAGGAACGCAGAACACGGTGTTCAGTTTGTCTTTGGGGTACGTCTGGCGGAGGGTGGCTGCGAGGCATTCGTACAATCGTGGATCGAGGCCTTTGACTGGCCGTATAACAGTGACTCGAGGAACTTCATCGCCTTTCAATGTCGTAACGCACGTTGCCTGCTGAGGTCTCCTCCAGTAATACCGGAAAAGCTGAACGAAGCCAATAGCACAAACATTCCAGACTACCACCCACCAAATCAGGCAGCCGGTCGCAATGATGGTACGCAACATGGAGACATCTTCTCCTGTCGCAAGGTCGGGCGCGCCAAGCATGCGCAAAAGTGTCGTAGAGTCAGAGTGAGGGTGGGATGTTGACGAATCTCACGGCACGGAGGTTGCGGAGTTTCGAACCAGAAAGTGACGACCTGCCAAGACAAACTCCACGCGACAGCCCCTTTTGGAACCACGTCTCAGGACAAGTTCTACGACAGATAGAGGTCAAGAAGCAGGCTTGCTGTATGTTGTATTCCAGTGTCTGTTGGTCATGCGATTGTTTGCACTGCCGAGCGGTCCGGCTTCTCCGCCAGGGACATTGCTTGTAGCGATCAAGCACCTAGGTGTCTCCACACCGACATTAATACACGCTCGCTAGTGACCTCACGTCCGACAGCACTCTAACGTCTAAACTGTTCATATTGGTAAACCTGTGCTACAGAAAGTATGGCGAATGGGTCGCTCATACCAGGGCAATATCAAGCTAGATGTGGCAGCGGTTGCATGAGTCTAGTGAGGATGCAGATGGCGAGTGGGACGATGAATCGTAGAATCTAATCGCATAACCATGGACCTCTTTCCGAAAGGCGCTCGTATCACTGAATAATTTATAGCTCATGGAAAGTAAACAAGGTGAGAGGGTGATACCAATACGTCCGTGTACATTTTCGTCAAGACCCAGATGTGAGCTAGCAAAAGTAGCTCGCCCAGCAACCTCGCCCGCCAAACCCGAAGTAAATGTATCCAAAACTCCTCATGTTCTCCGAACCCTGAATATTGTAGCAAGTCTTAATACTAAAGGTCTCACTGACTCTATGGTTTCAAACTTTCGGCTTCTTACGCACCAGTCCGGCTGTCAAGGTGTTCACTCCATTTGCAGCACTTGCATCAGTAATGGGTGTTGGCTCAGTTTTTGCCTTCTTCCTGACGGTGCCTTCTCCTAGAATTTGTGCGGGTTCAGCCAACTTTTCTGTCTTGGTTGCCGCCTCTGATGGGATATCGGGCTTCCTCTTCTTTCGTACACCCATGACCATTGTCGGTGTCACGCTGTTTGTTGCATCCGCAGACTTCACTGCAGCTACATATTCCTTAGTTCCTATCACTGTAAAGGCCCATTCATCCATGCCGCCAAGAACAGCGATTTCTTCTTTCCACTTCCTCGTACTCCGTGCTGCTGCCTTTCGGTTCGCAAACGTTTGCTGTAAGAGGACTTCATGTGCGCGGTCGTAGTTCTTAAGCGAGAAACAGATGGTCCCCCGTGAGGAAGCGGGCCACCTCCAGTATGGACTGTTCTCAGGAAGAGTTTTGGCAGAGCGTGAAGACATGTTTGGCGTGATCGGTAGATTCCGATAGGTAGTCTTGATCTTTGGTAGAACTAGTGGTATTGGTCCATACCTGGTTTTGGCCTCTTGTCTCCGTCGACTTGTCTTCCGCCGTTTTGGACTGGACACATTCTCTTGTGAATTGGTTTGCAAGAAGGACTTTGACGCTGACAGCTGTGACGGCATGTCCTCGTCTTCCTCGGGTATCGAAGGCTTGGGCGGTGTTATGACGACCCATATGAAACCTACTATCCTTCCTGATGAGCACTCTTGCCTGAAAGCCATAAACTCCCAGAATTGGTCGAGGGTCTTGACACTCTTCCATTGCCCATTACTTCTTGACGGTGTGCCTCCATCTGCTACCATATTATCTGTGCCACGGTCGGGAAGTTCCTCGTCTAGTTCATCAAGAAATCTAGCCTTAGGATCGTCTGGAAAGTGTGGTACCAGGCACCGTGGTGGTGCAGCAGGATATGGAGCGATCTGTAGGAGTGGGTGTGTAGTGGCCCAGCGTCGAGGGGTGTTGGGGACGGAGGGCGGAGGAATGTATCGCAGTGTATCGTACGATTCGAAGCCCGGTATCACTAGATATCCCTTTGCTGTGGACTCGGATTGTGTTGGTGTGCCGTTGGTCTTGGTGCCTTCACCCCCCATTAGCCGTTCAGCGAAGGGTTTCCCTTCTCCTTCAGCTCTGTACTCCCATATGATTGGATCGAGCACTCTGCACCACCATTTTACCAAGCCCCTATCGTCGAGAACATGCTTGTTCTTATTCTCAATGCTTGCTGGGAACAGGTATTGATCCTGTGCCCTGGCGAACAGAGACACAACAAGCTTCTTCCCTTCCCTCTGTCTTTCTCTTGCGAGCCAAGATACAAATGTGCCGCAAATAGCTTTCAAGGGCGATGCAGATTGGGCTCGCGGTAATTGCAGCTCAGATATGTAACCCGTCGAGTCGGCTTTGGAGACAAAGATGGTGGTGAGGTTTCTGGTGGTGTAGATTAAGACTTCGATGGCAAGTATCAGAAGCTCCTCGGGTAGTTCTGAGGCTGCGGCGTCTTTTGGCACTATCGATGCTGCCAACGTGTGCGACTCGCAATATGTGCGTTCGGACTTGCCATGGGGCGGCGCGGAGAAGAGAGCAGAGGACTTGGACGGCGGAGTTGAGTAGTGATAGAAGGTGATGGGCACGTTCTTGGGTAGTTGTTCGGCCAGTAACTCCCTCAGCGGCTTGGAGACACCAGGACTCGCCATGACGACTCAAACGGAGCGCAGCAAGGGGGAGAAGTCGCGTATCGGGGGCGCAAGATGGGGAGCGGTAGGCGCGACTGGGGCTAGCGTGGTTGTGGTAAGGCGCGATCCGCGTGCCGCAACTTTTCGATGATCCGAACTTCACCTCCGCCAGCAGCATCGTCTCCGCCCCCCGCCAATCACGCCTCTTGAACCTCACCCAGCCCTTGGAAGGATCGCAATGGCTTCCAAACGACCGCTCCGATCACTCGTCTCGACCGCTTCATCATCACTCCGCCCCTCGCAAACATCAAAAACATGCATCGTGCGGACCTCCGCATGCGCATTTTCGAGCACCACCCCATCGAGAGCCACCGAATATGATACAGAAGCTGCGGGCCGGCCGCGATGGCAGCAAACACCCCCGCGAATGGTAGCACCCCACAGGATACGACCGGCAGCCAAAGGGGGCATTCACAAAGTCAACGATGACCCGAAAAAGTTAGACGATGCGTACATACGCATGCTGGGCCCTGGAGGAGACAAGATGCTGGGGGACGACGTCAAGTGGTTAGCCGTTACACACAAGAGCTTCGACCACGGAAAGAGAGGATTCAATGACCGACTGGCATACTTGGGTATGTGTGCATATTCCTGAGGCGGGCAGGCGGGAGGCTAATAAAATGGGCAGGACGGAGGATTGTCCAACTACAAACATCACAAGCACTCATAAACTCGCCACAAGAACACCAATGGCCGAGAGATTCCAACGGTGTACCAGTCAACGACGAGTACGGCCGTAAACCATACCTGCACCCCGCCTTGGACGGGCTGCAGGGCTTGACCGACGAAGCAGAGAGTCTGGTGCTGAGCAAGTCACGGCTAGCACCGATAGCAGAGCGATACCGCCTGGATAAGGTCACTCGGTGGACACCCAAGAGGGTATGCTTGAATACAAACGGCACTCTGGTTTGCAGGCTAACCATTTTCAGGCGGACAACCTTCAAGGTTCTGGTTTCGAGACTGTCCTCATGACTTCCCTATACGCCATTGTCGGAGCGGTAGCACTAGAGCGTGGCGGCGAAGTAGCCAACAAGGTTGTGCAAGACAAGATACTCGCACCCCTTGGCTTCAGCTTCGCACCTGAATCATGACCTGGACGCAATCCCATCTTGTACAAAACCACTGCCACACTTTGTACCATATTGTAAACAAGCACTCGATATGGCCGACGTTCCGGTTCCCCCACACAATCGAAACGCGTCTTGTGAAACGTGCCGCAATTGACACCGTCCGCACTAGTTGCATGATCAGGTGCTGAGTGTATGTGTAACAATCAAGTTGAAAAGCACCACAATCTACACCTTGACAACTTCCCCAATTTAGCGGAACCAACTCATGGGACATCGGCTGAAAAACGATTGGGTTGTAACTCATCACAACCCGAGGTGCTGGCCTGAGTGAAACTTGCAGTGATGGATGATATACTAAAACTGCTTATTTGGGGCGTCAACTCACCACTAAACCCGATCGATCCTGACAAACTTTGCCTAGACATGAATGATACAAATAGCGTGAGCATTGAAAGATAACGCATGGTTTAAATGAGCAACATAATGTTAGCCTTGGGTATAATGAATGATAAACAACACATGAAGAAACAACCTCAAAGAATCCGCCTCAGAAAGTCAACCCAGGCTTGTTCTTCCTCCAGAACATGGCCTTCGCTGCATTCACACTCCGTGGCGGTGGATCAAACTTCGGCTGTGCCTCTTCGATGTCCATCTGCTCCATCTTTCTTTGAGAGTTTCGCTTCAATTCTCTCTTCAAGTTCCGCTCATCCTTCTTACGCATCCATGTTATCCAGATACAGTAGCTTGCACAAATTAGGCCAATGCCGCCTACAACACCACCGATGACAGCGCCAATAAGGCCTTGGCTTTGCCACGCGGACTGTTTGGGGCGTTGGTAGGCTACAGGGGTTGATTTAGGGCAGAAGGTTACTGGCATGACCATGTTGTTCTTTTGAATAGCTTCAGCAAGGAAGAAGTTGTTGGCCTCGTAGTCGGCCATCAGGTAGATCTGGCCTAGGAAAGCGGTGCCGAGATAGAATGGCGTTTCTGCCGACTCCTCGCGATCTTGTATAGGCGTGATGTTGGAAGCGTTCATGAGGACTTCTGGTGGGAGAGTGACAGTAAAACCATCTTCGAGCACAATCGAGAGTGAGCCGTTGAAAGCGTTCTTCAATCTCAACGAGTTGTCACCCCACTTGTTATCCTGTTCAGCACCTAGTTGCTTGATGAAGTTCTGGGTAATCTGGTAGGGTAGAGAAAATGGAAACTGTTCAGTCGTGATCTGGGCCTCGAAGTCCTCTGCCCGCGTCTTCATGTCAGTGAAGACTGTGTTGTCGAAGAGCGATACGTTTGCGTTGTCTTCCGTGTTGGTGATGACAATGTCTTTGATGCGGACGCTCATCGGATTCGGGTTGTTGATGTTCATTGAGTATTT